TAGGGCGGAGGCCATCACCAGTAGGTTGGAGACCATCGCCAGTAGGGTTTTAAGGCAGGTTCGAGGCCATTGGGTTGGAGGACACAGTTCATCGGACTCAATTCATCGCTCCGTCGGCACCTGTGGAAGGAAGTCTGACTTTTCCCCGGAGCACAGCCGTGCCAGAGCCAAGAGCGCCTCGAACAAAAGAGAAACACAACGCATTTGTTCAATATTTGTTCAAATTTGGAATAGAACTTCTAAAAGCTATAGAAATAGAGGAAGAATCCCAGCAACAAGCGACCAATGAGTGCGCTGTATCAGTCATTGTTGCATTTTTGCGTCTGAAAAAGCATTTATCGGCTCCCGGTGCCCCAAGCATCAATGGTCAGAGAAAAAAGTCAATCCGCCTCTGGGAGGTCCTGGCGCGCAGCCTCCACAAGGTGGAAGACAGCCGACTCCACCTGAACCGAAGCTAGTAGTAACAAGTGCCACGCTACTAGGAACAAGTGCCACGCTAGTAGTAACAAGTGCCTTACTAGTAGTAAGAAGAAGCACTGCTTGGTCTTCCAACATCAAAGCCTGTTTCCAACATTTGCTGATCCACGTAGTTATACGACAGGCCCTTGAAGCCTTAGAGCAATCGTTACCTCAACTAGACCCTTCTGTCTTCCACTGCAAACGACCCCTACTAGCAATGACCTCGATGGCTTAATAACGATGGCCTCCAACCCACTAGCAATGCCTTCAACCCAGTAGCCATGGCCTCCAACCTATTAGCAATAATGGCCTTCAACCTAATAGCGATTGCTTCTAACCTACTAGCGATGGCCTGATAGGGATAACCTCATGTATTTTACAATACATGTGGGGGGGTCTTGCTCGCCATTCTAAAGAAATAAGATGTACTCTGTATTATGCGAGGACTGACCCTCAAGAACCCCAAAAGAACTGAACCATGAAATCCAAGGTGCCTCTTCACAAAAACTGCATCGCAAACGTGAATTTCCTATAAAATGCCGAGGGTTGACCCCTAAAAATTGCACAAAACGGACATGTGTTCGCGGAAGCGAGCCCGCAAGAGAGAGAGAGAGAGAGAGACGCGCGCAAATTCCGCTTGGCCTTTTGCGCAGCTAAGACTGCATAAAATTCAATCGTTCCAAAACCGCTTCAACACGCATCAGAGTTCATCGCGACATGTAGTGGGCTACTATGGGTTAACTACTCAACAGGAAAGTAAAGAGAACACAGGCGTGTGAAACGTTTGCTCACATGCATTAAATCCATTAGTAGAGAATACGGGGCAGGCATAGGCAAGCCTGAAACCAAAGGCACTTCCCAAGATCCACCTTTTTAAGGACAAGTAAGTGAAAAAGTTACTAAAGGAGAGGATGTGGTCGAAACATCCGACGATAAAGTCTCTCTGATTTGAGAACACCGGGACCCACGCAGCCACGCTACTGATTACTGGAAGCACCAACAAAAAATAAATGTCCTAAATGTTGACTTTATACTTACGGACTTTTTGATGTCCTCAAATGGCGGCCTATGTACGTGAACTTGTGGGACACTCTTGTCGGACACTCTTGTGGACACTCTTGTGGGAGACTTTTGTGGGACACTCTTGCGGGGAACCCTTAAGAGCGATGGTTTCAACCTAATAATCAGCCCAAATTGACGGTGACTGGTGAGTGAACAAAGTAGGCACCTACGGCATGGCCTCAGCACAGCTCTACTGGCGCATGGCAGCGCTCCTTCTCCGGATCCTGTACTACCTTTTTCCCATGGTGGACTGGGCCTTTGTCTTTGTGGACGATTTCTGTTGGCTTCTTCGCTCTACCTTGGCCCCATTACATACGTGTGCCGCGTGTGCCCTATCAATACCTGGTTGGGGGTTGTCATACAACCAGCTGGCCCGATTGTCCAGATGGCCAACCTAATAGCGGCGTCTTGCAATGCAAGCGACCTGTTTGTTGACCTCTTTCCCGCACCTCCTTCGGCCCGGGAGGTCCTCGTGGCTCATCCGGACGCAAGGTGATGCGGCCCTCGTTGTACATGGCAGCAATTTCCATGTGGCACTCAGCCTGACTCGGACTCGGCTACCTTGTTCCTAGTAGCGTCCTTGCTCCTAGTAGTAAGGCCAGGAGCCCCTAGTAGCTTCTTGTTACTACTAGTAAGGCACTTGTTACTAGAAGCGATGCACTTGCTCCTAGTAGCGTCCTTGCTCCTAGTAGTAAGGCCAGGAGCCTCTAGGTAGCATAAATTGAGACAGATTGAAGCACAGCATGGAGAGCCGACAAGGTCAACAAGGCCTCAACCAAGTCCTCGGGCAAAGGATCACTGTTGTGATGCCGCACTGCCCCGCGCCAGTTGCACCAATCTGACAGATCCACGTTTGGAATCCTCGGCTTCATCTTTTTGAACTTTGGTCAACGTTGCCGTTGAAGCCGTTCGATTTAGGTAAGTTCATCCTGGGACAATCAGTGATCCCTACTCAAGGCTTTACGTGGGGGTTCAGGTTCAAAAGTGCTCCAACGGTAATCTTCAGGGAGAAATCCGTGGTCGCTCTACATTGCTCCAAATGTCTCTGTCAGCTCCACCGAAAAGCCAGGAGCATCGCTCTCACACGGAGGTACCATGGCATTTTTCTTGGTCGTTGCAATCAGCTGAGAGACTGTCCTGAACTGTGGCTCTCTCTTCAAAGCACTGTTTGGTGTTTCTTGCATTTCTGGAGTCGTTTTCGCATTGGATGCCGAGGCTTTGTAGAAAGTTTGATGAACCACAAGCCATCATAAACCACCATAGGATTCAAGGGGGCGACCGTTTCCCAATGGAACGCTATCTGCTAGGCTGCTAGGCCATTTCCGAAGTTACTCCTCTTATGACATGACAAGTAGGGTGACAACATTTTTTGGGCCACTGGCTACGCACCCCCAGCCACAAAGATGCTCTCTCTCTCTCTCTCTCAGCCTAATAATTCTAGACTCTGCCAGAAGCAGTCGGTCAGTCCTTGAAGAGCTTGGAGCAAGATGCCTTTCCTGCGCCAACTAGGTTTTTTTGTGCGCAGTAACTAGTAGGTTGGAGGCCATTGCTATCAGGTTGGAGCCATCGCTATCAAGTTGGAGGCCATTGCTTTTGGGTTGGAGGCCATCTCTAATAGGTTGGAGGCCATTGCTCTTTGGTTGGAGGCCATCGCTAGCAGGTTGGGGGCCATCGCTGGTAGGTTGGATTGGAGGCCATCGCTATTAGGTTAGAGGCCATCGCTATTAGGTTGGAGGCCATCGCTTGTAGGTTGGAGGCCATCGCTTGTAGGTTGGAGGGCAACGCTATTTTGTTCGAGGCCATCGCTATTAGGTTGGAGGCAATCGCTATTAGGCTGGAGGGCATCGCTATTAGGTTCGAGGCCATCGCTACTACGGTGAAGGCCATCGCTATTGGGTTGGAGGCCATCGCTAGTAGGGTGGAGGCCATTGCTTTTGGGTTGGAGGCCATCGCCGTCGCTAGTAGGTAGGTAGCAAAGCAGCTTTTAAAGTGGTTCGTGGCGGAATTGGTGCAAGAGGCCTCGTGGCGGGAGAGGGCAAAGATCGGCAGATTCAACAGCTGGTCCTGGGCAAAGGTGTCATAGTGTCCACGTCTGCCATTGAGGTCTTTTCACCACCAAAAGCACATTGCTTCAAAGTGACTGAAAAGCTTTCCCAGAAGTGACTAATATTCGAAGCTTGCTGTAGAAAGCAGCATAACCACAAACTGCTGAAATCCCTCTCAGATGCAATCGACTGGGTGTAAGACAAAGCCGCTCGGATTTGTGTTTCGGGTGTCGCGGAGTCCCCGTCCACATCGATGTTTTGAAACTAGAAGCGATGCACTTGTTCCTAGTAGCTTCTTGTTACTACTAGTAAGGCACTTGTTACTAGAAGCGATGCACTTGTTCCTAGTAGCTTCTTGTTACTACTAGTAAGGCACTTGTTACTAGAAGCGATGCACTTGTTCCTAGTAGCTTTTT